GATTCCAGAGCAGTCCATACAACTGGCTACTGGACATCTCATTTGAATGTTTTGCAGGCATCTCAGTGTATCCCCAGATCCCCAGATTCAATTCATATACTTTCCTTGCTACTGCCAACATCATGCCTATCCCTGAGCTCCCCGCCAAATGTGCTTCTCTTTCAGTATAACCCACTGGAGTAAATGGCCCATCTTTCCACTTGTCCATCTGTCCGTCCATCCATCCATCCATCCATCCATCCATCTGTCCATCCAACCATCTATCCATCCTCCTGTGAGTCAGAAACAGAAACATCTCTGACTCCTCTGTCTCCCTCACCCCACATCCTGTCCATTCCATTTGATCAATTACTTCTCTGGAGTCCCTCGATTTCTCTTCTTTCTAGTCCACATTATCATTGCTTCTCACTTGGGCTACTGAGAAAATCTCTTAACCAGGGTCCCCTTCAAATTCATTTTTTACTTTGCAGTCAGATTAAATTTCTCAAATGCAAATTTGATGAACAATCCTCACCCCTCTCCTCAAAACACCCTTTGATGAGGTTTCCCTTTGCTTTTATAACAAACATTAAAATCCTGAATCTTCCCTAGAAGGCCCTGCAGGTCTGGCTTCCATCTCCCTCTACCCCTCACTGGCCTGACCCCCACTCTCACCCTGCCCACCTCCGGCCACCTGCCCTTCCTTCAGGGCCTCAGACTCAAGGGGTCCCCTCGTGTGGAAGATCTGTTCATGTGATGCACCCCTGTCGGCAACATCCCCTTGCTCTAACCCTTCATTCAGTGGCTCTCCATTTCACATCCTCCGGGAAGCATTTCCCTACTGCCTCAACAAGTCAATCCTCACACGACAGAGTCTCATGGTACCTTGTCCCTCTCCTTCGTGGCCCTTAACATTATTTCATTAATTTGTATAATCGTTTAATTCCTTTGTATAATCACTTAAGTCTCTCCTCCCCTGCCTTCCCTGGAAAATGCCAGTTCTTCACATTTCTATCTTTCCCCTGGCTCCCCCTCCCCCTGCTCCAGTGACACTGGCCTCCTTGCCATTCCCAGCACCGCACCGCACCACACTGAGGCAGGCCTGCCCCTTCAGGGCCTCTGCCTGCACCTGGCTCCCCTCCTTACCTGTCTCAGGCCCTGGCTTCCATCTTATCCTCTCAGAGAGGTCTTTCTTGACCATAAAAACTACAACCTCTGCCCTAACGTGTCTCCTTCCCCTGCCCTACTTCCTCTGTTACACACGTCGCTTTCTATTATTCATATTATACAGTTTACTAAGTGACTTTTTCCGCTGCCCCCATAAGAATGTCAGGTGCTGTACAAGCAAGGAATTTTGTTCTGTTCCCTGCTCTGTCTCTGACACCTAGGATAGTGCCTGGCATGTAACAAGCACTCAATGATATCTGTTGAAAGAGTTCCTTTAGCTTGGCACAGAGCCTGGCCCACGGCAGACCAATATGTCTTTGTTGAAAGGACCACAGAAAGGGAGGAGGGAGCCTCGGAAGGGCCTGCAGATTCTGGCTCCTTATCTTCAACTGCCAGTCCCCAGAAAAGAGGACCCCAGGCTCCAAGGGGCCCCCTTAGCCTGGAGATTTGGTGTGTATCTTAAGCTCAGAGTTAATTGTAAGTGGGAACCGTGGAGAGAATTGCCACGGCTGTTTCTGTGGTATGGTGAAAGGGGTATTTGTTTATATTTGAAAAGGACTAGCCCCGCAAATTTACAGTGTAAATAAGGAAAAAGTTGAACTTAAGAGCAAAAGCCAATCAACAGTTTTTAAGCACCATTAAAACCATTTTATATGCAAACGATGTTACAAAACAATGAATGTGATCATTAAGAACACTTCTTATGGTCTCTGAAAAGCACTAACGAGAATTTCTAAGATGCGTTGACGGAACCCTCAGTTCCTCATCATAGTCAGTGGTCATTCCCAGGGCCTGGGCGCTAGGAAGCAGACTTCTTTATCCGTAAAACCAACTTTTCAACAATTATATCATTTCTTAGGGTGCAGGGTGGGTGGTAATAGTCTTCCCCAAGCCTATAAAGAAACTACTGATATGAGTGCCTATGTAAGCAGGATTTGGGTAAGTACTGATTTTATAGAAGACTATAAATTTTTATTTCAATAATGTTGGGAGGCAGGTTAGGCCATGCTTATCCTTCGTTCTGTTTCCCTTCCCACCCCATATTCCAATGTGCTGGCCAGTGCCCTCCAGCGAGCGGTCCCCTAGACCAGGCAGGATGCGGACAGCCATGTCAGCTACTGCCTTCCTCACACTTGGCCTGTTATTAAATGTCCTCTGACATCCTGTTCCCCTCAGAGCTCATTCAGAGCTAGGTGACAACTAATGAGAATAGACGGACAATGGATACATCCATTAGACCCTGTCCCCACTATCCTTCTTAGACAACAGACACGAAAGCATCAAAAAAGAGCTTCTCAGAAGACCCTCAACAGTGGCAGTTCTGGAATTTCTCTACGGGGTCTGCAGGGGTCAGCCTGGGGGCTGGAGGAACAGCTTGAAACTACCTTTGGACGGCAGGTACCCAGCTTTTACTTAGTTGGTATATTTATTTGGGGTGGCCTGGGGAGACCGGGGAGAGGGGCTAAAGCCTCCTGAAGCTGCCTCTTGTCACCCACACTGGCCCCTTACAGACCATGATGCTAATGGAGAAAACTTCAAAACGGTAGGAAGCCAGAGGGGACCAACCATCTAACCATGCACCGGACAGTGGTTATAAGAGATGCTCCTGGATTGGAACCCTGCCTCCATGTGTTATTAACCTAACCTTTCACTCAACTGCCTCATCTGTAAAACGGATACAGTCACATTACCCGTTTCATGGTATCGTCACAGGAAGTGAGTTCACATGAGTTAATGCGTGGGAAGTGCTTAGAGCCGTGTCGAGCATGTACGAAGTGCTCAACAAGTGTTCGCGTTTATTCTTTTTTTCATTGATCATTCAAAACTATTCCTCGAATGCCCACCAAGTGCAGCTATTAAGCTCTGCCTCAGGAAGGAGCAGGTTCAAAGTTATACTGGACAGCGGCCAGCTGAGTACACCTACACTCACACTCACTGACACAGCCTTCTGGATGCACAGCAGGTGGCCCACATCTGGGATATTGTGGGGACGGCAGGACATAGGCTCACTGACACCCCCTTCCACCTGGCATGGAGGGAGGCCCAGAGCATGCTATGAACTCCCTATTTGATCTTGTGACTCCTCCTTGGAGCTTGTTGTAGAGCTGAAGGAATTCCTGGAGAGAACCCCGAGAGTCATTATGAGAAATCTGCATTCTTTGAACAGTACAAAGCTTTAGCGGCTCCCTGAGAATATGAAGGAACTTGGAAGGATCTATAATGGTCAAGCGATTCTTCCCATGGCAAGAAATAATGTTTTTCTTCCCTGAGCCTTGACATCACCACACCCACTGCTCCGGCACATTGCCGTGTCACTGCAGGGTACTGGTGTCACAGGGCTCTTGTTACCTGCCTGGTCTACCCTGTCCTGCGGGCGGGGACATCATCCCTGTCACCTGGGAATCCTCACTGTGGGTCCGGTGTCTGGTGCTCCCTAAGTGTTGACTGAATCCCCTGAAGGGCAATGAAGCCTTGGGTCTATTGGAAACATCTTCTCCCTAAAAAGGACTCTGACAGGACCACTGGAAGCACGGAGTAAATGAACAGACAGAACGCTCGAAGCTAGCACGTGTCACCCGCAAAACCGGTGGTTGGGACTTATGAGTGGCCAGAGGGAGAACAGAGCCAGCTCATGCACACTCAGGATGCTTCGTTCCTATTATGTGTAAACCCCACCCCCTCCTTTCCCACAATAAAACACACACACCGTTGCTCTGCACTGTCCGATATGGGAGCCGCCAGTCTCGTGTACCATTTAAATTCAAGATGATTAAAGTTAAATACAATTTAAGTCTCAGTTCCTCAGTGGCCCCAGCCACATTTCAAGTGTTCATGTGGCGTGTGGCTACTGGTTCATAGAGCGTAAACACAGAAGACTTCTACAGTCACAGAAACTTCTATTGGGCGGTCTCTCCTGTCCTTCCAAGAAACGTTAACTTAGACGCATACAATGTCGCTGTACTTTCACAATCAATAAAGCTAATGCATTGTTCCCTGGACTGTGCAAACGTTTCCAGTTGGTTCTTTCAGTAGCAGCAAGGCACGCACTACACGCTCTCCAGTTCTATTTTCACATCGTTTGTTTGAATTTACGTATCTTCAGAAATAGCATTAATTCTGTTAGTACTTGTCAGTACGTTGAGGCGGTCCTGTGTGACTTGGAGCAGTTTAATGCAGGGGATGGATGGCTCCAGCCCTGGGAGAAGGAAACTCATCAATCCACCACGCGTCTCAGCATCGTTACGGCACATTAATGAGGCTGGGCTCCATTTAAACACCGTCTGAGGCATTATGGATTGGCAACATTCAGCTTCACAGGAACTGGGAATTTCTGAGATAGAATCCTCACTCTTTTGCTAATGAGTGTTGCGATATGGGGACTATCATTTAACTTGTGAGTTTCGGTTTCCTGTCCTTAAAACGGGGCTATTACTGACCTACCTAACCCAAGTGTCTGGAGGATTAATGAGTTAATGCTTGCTGAGAACTCTGAGCCCTGTGCATTAAGGCTTGTTGCACATCATTATTTCCATTCATCCTCATGTAGCAGCTGGGAAACATTAGACTATTATGCTTACTCCTAAAATGCATTTTCTTCCTCAGCATTTTCACATTACCTACATCACCCAAACCTTAAATCTGAAAGTAAAACTAGCCCCACAGCAAGACACACTGACGGAGTGGGGGTATTTAGGTAGTTTTCCCTTTCTTGAATACAAGCATTACATCGGCTTTTCCAGAAGGATGAAGGCGGTAATTGCACTGTAAATTCTCACTGCGTGAGGCTGGTGGTCAATCTTAGCAGATGCGAAAAGAAAGTTATACCACAGCACAATCACGCTGTCAACACTTACATGCAATGATATTCCCATATCTGTTCTTCATTCTGTTCTCATCTTTCTTAGCGGAGTCCCATGGTGCAGACTGCCCTTCAAAGAAGCTCTGGAAGAAAGAGAAAAGTGACACAGAGAATTACAATTTGGTGCAGTAAACACAGGATCTTAATGATGGAGGATGTTCTTTAAAAATGTACAGCAAGGGTCAAGAAGGGAAAAGGATGTTCACAGGAAAGAGAGAATGGATTAAATACGTTAACTTTTTGTTTTCCTTTACTTGCTACATTACATACATGGATGGGGGCTGAAGTGTGAATTCACAGTTTATCGCACAAGCCATTAAAACGGTCGAGTTCACCCTATCCGACTTTAATCAATTTAATACAGAAAAAGAATGAACCTGTCCCTCAATGTCTTAATTATATTACCATTTCTCATTATTCTCTTCAGAGATGCAAAGATGTCGTTTTTCATCCCAATCGCTAACTGAAAGAAGGTGATTTTTGGTTAAAACTGTCAAGGTGGGTAAGCTATGACTTCATGCCTTCAAGGCTAAAATCCCGTAATAAATCCTGCCAGAGTTTTCTCTTCCTTTTTAATGGAGCTTAGATGTCCATTTATTTAAGGATTTGGCATTATTATGCCCAGGGTCTTTAATCTTCATGTTATTAGTCAGATATATATTTTTCCTGTTCAAATGATAACGAATATATCCTTTGGTATCAGTTGACAAAGTGAAAAAAAGTCCGAGACTTGTATTTCCACTTCAGTTCACCTTCCCTTTTATCCTTGTGTAGCCAAGTGTATAGAGAGGGAAGGGGAAGAAGGACGGAAGTAAGAAGCGGTTAGTCAAACTGATTTCTTCTCTTTGCCACAGCTACTCTTCCACTTCCTTCTTGGTACCGACTGGGAAAGAAGAGGAGAGGAGGAGGGAGAAGATAGAAAGGTAGAGCGGATGGATGAGAGCACCATTCTGAGATGCTTCAGGGCCAGAGGATGTGGTTTCAGGAACTCACACCCTCAAACATGCCCAGGGTGGCTTTTCAAGTTCTCTCTTTAGAACTGAAACTCCTCATCTGTCCTCCTTACAGTGTTTGGCCATCTTGTCCATTTCCGACCATTACCAATATTTAGTGATCAGTCTGTGGTTCAATGGGACCTACTTAGTATCACTTTCTATGGGTCCAGTTCTGGCTCATTAGTAAAACTGCATTAGTATTGCTGCAGGGGGTAAGACCCACCTGCTCAGAGGCCCCATGAGGGAGCTTCACCTCCTGGCGTGTTGCACAGACCTGACCATGAAGTGGATGGTGTGCAGCTCATCCTACTGTATCTGCCGCCAGACTATAAACTCCCTGAGGGCAGGGACTGCGTGGTTTCATTGCTGTCTGTGCACAACCTCTGCCTCATGGCAGGAATCCAATAATTGGCTATTAAGTGAATGAGCGATCACAGTGTTTGGTGATGGATGAAGCTTTACTTGTGTAGCTTAAGTGTGCGAGGGGCTCAAATACCTGGGAAACCTGCCTATGTACTGTGTGTGAAGTCCACGCCTTTTCTTGATGTGTATTGATCCTGCTGTTAACCAAATAGCTCATTGACCACCGGAGACTGGCTGGAAAAGAGCCTTATCCCAGCACTGAACCACTGGTATCAGTCCCTCCATACAACAAAGAAGCAGGGACACTCCATTTTGTAACACGCAACAGTGAAAAAACAACACTGCGAACATAAGCATCACAGTTTTAAATTGCCTGTCTTAATTTAAGGTACCTTAGTCACGATCATCCTTGACACCTTATTACCGTAATAGTTCTTACATTCTATTTATCATTTTGAAACAACATGGCGGCAGACGAGGATCAGATGTCCTATTACCTATAGTTCTATTAACAGAGTCACAGCATACATTGTTAATTGAAGGGTGAATACCACATGATGTAGGACAAATTACAAGGAAAAACATTTTCAGGTTATTAATAAATTAAGTCAATAGAAATACTAGCAATGAAAATCACTAGTTAATTCCCTCAGGAACAAGGCTATCATATGATAAAGGATTTATTCAGACATGTAACTTCTATTCTGCTATGAAATACGCATTTAAAAATAGCTTCTAGGGCTTTTAGAGTCAGACTCTTTTTCTGAATAGTGTCTTTGTTACCCTATGAATGACAATTATTTCACAGTTGAGTAATAACTATTATCTGACTGCCCTCATAACAGTTTAATTCTACTTTGAGTTTGTCATGATGTAATTGCCAATTTCAATCCCCTTTGCCTTTTCCGCCCATCTAAAAGTTTTCAGGTTTTGTTTTTTTGTAGGAAGATGAAGAAGGGAAAAGTCTTCCAGGAGAGTCTATGGCCTCTGGTGAACACTATCCTAGGGCATGTGTGCATGTATGTGTGTGCGTGTGTGTGTTGGGCACACCCGCGTGCACACACACACACAGAGAAAGAGAGAGAGAGGCAGAAAGAGAGAGAGAGGGGAGTATAAGCAGTGTACGAGGGGGACAGGTACTTGTACAACTAGTAAAAATAATGCTCCTAGGTCACCTGAGGCAAAGCCACATGAATCCCTTCCCTTTCTAACAAGAAGATGTTCTCCTGTGGGGAAGGCGGGCACATCACAGCTATTTCTTTAGCATTTGTGACAATCACAGGCCTTCCGATAGCCCTTGCTTTTAAAAACAGTTATTTTAACCTCATGTTTTCAGGTAACTGGTGGCCAGGAAGCAGACAGAAACAAACAATGAAACGATAACCGATCCCCTTACATTTGATCATGGCATGTAGCTCACGGCATGTTTTCCTAAGGTGGGGCCCAAGTCCAAGCCCACTTGGGGCCCACTTCCAAGCACTTATTATTGTGTACTTATTAAGTGCTTGTAGAACGAACGAGTCCACTGTCTCAACTAAAGCTCAGGAGAGCAGTCAGGCACGGAGGGATGTTTCCCTGCTCTCAAGTTGAGGGACGTGAGATGTAGAAAGAACACAACCAGCTCATAACACACAGGCCTGGGTCAGGCCTCAATGGTTTTTGACTCTTAATCCACGGATTTTTCTGTTCCACACCTCCCCTGACAAGGACTTGAAACCCTCTTTCAATATCTGTGGCCAATGATTGCTTTCTACATCTTGATCACATCTCCTTGTCTCTAAATGAAGGTTTACAACAAGAGAATAGAAGAGATGTCAAGTAAACTTCATTCACTCTTACAAAAACAGAAATTTTCTGATCTTGTAGGATAATGTGATCATGGCAGGGAAGCAGCAGCAGGCGAGCAGAAATGGGAGGGCATTCTTGCAATAAGCCTCTTCACCTTCTTATCCAGGAATTATGTGAATTACTTTTAAGCAGACAAGTGTATTATTTTCTTGAAGGTGAAACAAAACACAACAAAAAGTGCTGCTCCATGAAAAAGATGAGGTGACTAGTGTTATCCACTGCGTCCTGACTCCTTATGGACATTGTGACCAGTCTTGTGTTTTCTGGAAGAGTTCTGATTCCATTTTTATAGCCAATCTCCCCCTGAGTACATCTGCAATTATTAGAACCACAGGTCCTTGTCTTTGGCTTAGAAAGTAAGAAATATACCTATGGGGAGTACAGAGAGAGGAAAAAAGGGCTTTCTGGATTGACTAACTTGGCTTCTGTTTCCTTTTGTCAATGGTGATGATGATTTTTTATTTCCTAAGATGGACCCAGTTTTAAATGCTATGGCTTTTTGTTAGCATACATCACCTGTTTCAATTTCTAGTTAGAAAATAAAACTTTATCTATAGCTCTAGGGCCATTGGGCGTTCCAAGAAACTGTGACATGATATATAGGTCTTCCACACTGTGAGCCCCTGCTTTCCTGGTTTGGGAATTCTAAGTAAGAATCATAATCAAAGCAGGAATGCAGTTCATCAAGGCTCTAGAATATTGCATCTCATCTGGTCCATAGCGAGGCCTGACACAGACTCTTCATTCTCCCAAGAGCCCGAGCCTTTTTGACCACTGAGACGCACCCCTTTTTTTTTCAGACCATGAGATGGACCAATAGTCCCCAATAAACCTACCAGTGAAATACACCCGAGGGAAATGAAGTAATTTTGCGATGCAATCATTCTATCAAGTCCTATTTCACTTAACCTTTGACTTTTAAATACATTTTCTCCAGTTTTACTGAGATGCACTTGACATACAGCACTGTGTAAGTTTAAGGAGTACAGCGTAATGGTGTGAGGTACAAATCTTGTGAAGTGATTCCTGCTGTAAGTTTAGTTAGCGCCCACGAACTCAGAGAGGTACTTAAATATCTTCTAATAGGGGCGCCTGGGTGGCGCAGTCGGTTAAGCGTCCGACTTCAGCCAGGTCACGATCTCGCGGTCCGTGAGTTCGAGCCCCGCGTCAGGCTCTGGGCTGATGGCTCGGAGCCTGGAGCCTGTTTCCGATTCTGTGTCTCCCTCTCTCTCTGCCCCTCCCCCGTTCATGCTCTGTCTCTCTCTGTCCCAAAAATAAATAAACGTTGAAAAAAAAAATTAAAAAAAAAATCTTCTAATAAATTAAGCAAATCAACCCACATTTCATATGATTTTCTTCTGTGGATTTTTTTTTTTTAATCTGGGCAAGGTTCTTCAGCTATCCTTTTTCTTTTTTTCTCATCTTCAGGAAGGTCAAAAGTTATGTGTCCCTTTAAAATTACATAAATTGACTGCTTTGAGAAGACCTCTACTCTGAACCAAGTATCTTTCGGGAGGTGAGTAGTCCCCATGTATTTTACGTGGTATCTACTAAGGGCTGCTCCTATCAGTTGAAAGTAAAGCCAACGAGGTTTTGAACCCTCCTGGTGCTGAGAAAATAGAACTCTGTTCCTTGAAGGAATCAGAGGATTCCTGAGCACATGCCAATGTCTGGCATCTGTTTGGGGGTGGGGGAGGGGGTTCTCTGCTTACCGCCCCTTATGTTTCCCTGTATCCGAGACCAACTGTTATGTTCAAGTTCAAGTACAAACTCCAACTCCTTGATCTCTCGTCTCATACTATTTGCTTGACGGTTACGAGCAGGTTCATTAAAATCAAATTTAACCAAGGTGCAGGTGTGCTTTTGAAAAAGCGGTC